ACTTTACTCGGTTTTTCATAAAATCTTGCGGACTGAGTATTTCTGCCCATAGGGAGGCTAGAGAAAAATAAAAAAAACTAATAATCGTGTATTTTCATGAGATAAATCGATAAACACTCGAGTGAAGTGCTTCCCAGGGGGGCTAGGGAAACATTTCGAAAACTTTTTCTCGTGTACTTTCTCGAGGTAAATCGATTTTTGGTGAAATTGAGTTGATTTGGGTCGCAAAAATACCCAGTTCGCAACATTTTATGAAAAAACACAAGCGTAAAGTGCTCCCCAGGGGGGCTAGAGAAAACTTCCAGGAACTTATCATCGTGGATTTTCATGAGATGAATCGATTTTTGATACAATTGATTTGATTTGACTTGCGAAAATACCCAGTCCGCAAGATTTTATGAAAAAACACACGAGTCAAGAGCTCCCCAGGGGGGCTAGGGAAAGATTTCAAATACTTCCAATCGTGTATCTTCATGAGATAAACTGATTTTTGATGAAATTGTGTCGAATAGACTTGCGAAAATACCGAGTCCGCAAGATTTATTGAAAAAACACACGAGTAAAGTGCTCCCCAGGGAGACTGGGGAAAAATTTCGAAAACTTTTTGTTCGCTGGAAATAGCCAGTCTGCAGCATTTTTTTCCAGTGCGCAAATTATACACAGGCTTATTTCACAGATCAAAATGAGGCATTTTTTTCCTATAAACATAATATTAGTCTGTTTCGTTACCGAGCTATACAGAGCGTTACAGTTTCAAGATTGTTTCTCACAGAAGGAGGAGGAAGAAAGTAATATTTTGCTCTATAAAATCAGCCCATGAAAACTTGATACTGAAATTTGAAACACCTTGTATATAAGTAGGTAGGGTGTTTCTTTTCGTCACATGGAGATCCCGAAATATTTTTTTGCATATCTTGAGAAAGTTACCTCAGATAAGGTTTGATTGACAGGAATCATCACAGGATGTGCAAAATTTTTTGTGGCAAACTTTTTAAATTTCAAAGCAATATATTTTTCCTACTTTAAATTGGAGCCCCTGTATATTTTCATGAAATTCGATGCGTGAATAATGAACAAACTCTTTTTCTTATTACAACCCTATCGAAATTCTCATCGTATCAAAACTTATTTGCCGAAAACTCGTTACATCAACTACTCAAACAGTCATAAACAGTTGATGAACAATTTCTTGATACAACATATCAGGAGTTCAACAGAACTATTCGTCAAAATCTTATACACATCATGAAAGTATAGGAAATCACAGTAGTTCTAGTAATGAACTTTTCAAAAACAAACAAATACCAATTCACCAATTCAAACAAACAAATACCAATTCACCAATTATTCCTCGCCACATATTAATTGACCATCTGTGTTGTCTATCCATCTGCCTAAAAACCCTTGGATTGTGATAGGAGTGATAATGTGAGTTGAGACGATTTACAAATCCATTCTGATGGAAGGTGGTCTCATCAGAAAACAGAACCTTATCAAAGAAGTCGAAATTTTAGTCCAATTTTACCTTGCGCCCAATTGTAAAATTCGGCACGTTTTTTAAAATCTTGTTCAAAGAGTTCTGAAACTGAAATTTCCGAAATCATGTTTTGGATTGAAGTGTGATCTCTTCTTAACACATTTAAGAAAGTTTGGAGTCTTTTAAACTTGCAGAACCTACAAGGACTTCTTGATTAACATCTAGAAAAAACTTATTGATTTTTTTTTCTGAAGTAGTCCATGCTCGAAGTGGGGGGGGATGATCAAAGATAAAAAACTCAGGGAGAATCAAAGCTTCTGAAGAGGCTTTCACAAGGCTATACGAAGGCAAATAAGCCTCTGGAGTTCATCCCAGAAATGTTCTATATATTGTTAATATGAATTCAAAAGTTCCATATTATTTTGGAACACTTGTATCATCTCTTAAAAATAAGATATTGACGTGAATCAAGAAACATTATAATCTTTGATAGAAGGCCATGGTTTCTCAGAGTAAAGTAGTAACTACCGCAAAATGGGGTTAATAGGTTCGCTGTGGTGATTATGATATAAAATAGGGAGTTTATCAGTTTAGTTCACGAAACCTCAATAACGTAATGAATAATGCATTCTATTCGAGTTTGACTGGTTGCCTAACTCTATATTTCATAAAGGTTACCAATATTTTATCATTCAGCAGTTGATAGCACTGTAAACCAGGCCTCAATCCAATCAAAAGTACTGTCAGTTATCTGTTTTCATTATCGCCAAAAGTTTGTCTGTGAATACGAATTTGAAAAAGCCATTTGGCCTTAATTAACTCCAACAGGGCATACAAAATTATTTTAGTTTATTCGTGAGCAAAAACAAAATTGTGAAATATTTTTTATTTCGTTGCACGATTTTCAGGTTATCAGGGTGAATAGGATCAAGAGTTGGGGTCGATTAGATCAAGGGCTGGGGTCAATAGGATCAAAATGCTTAGAGAATATAAACCCTGATCATGACGAAAACGTTACAAGAAACCTGATCCAAACATTGACGAGGCTAAAAATGCTGATAATAACAACGGGTATAGTATTCGACAAGCCGCTAGAAAACAAAACATTGCTTTCACCCTTCTGCAAAAACACCTAAAAAATGTGAATGTTAAAAGACAAGGAGGTCAAACAGTGTTGAGTGGAGCTGAAGAGAAATGTATTGCGGAAAAATTACTTACATGCAATGAGTAGGACTACCCCTTAGATACCTATGATTTACGATTGGTTATCCAACAATATTCAAATAGAGCTGATAGGGTGGTGCCCCGTTTTAAGGACAATCTTCCTGGTGAAGAATTCGCCGAAACGACATTCGGATATGCTGTCGGAGAGTATGTGCCAAAATATTAAACTAGCCCGGGCTGGTGTTACGAGGGTATCGAATACAGAGTATTTCGAACACTTTCCTGAAAAAGTAGAAGGTACTTCAGCCAGCAACATCATAAACTACGATGAGAGCAACTTTGCGATGACCCAGGCGAAAAAAATAGTGCAAATATCCAGAGCGAATTATGAACCAAAGTAAGTCAACTTCCATCATGTTCGCTGCTTGTGATAGTGGAGATTTACTTCCATGCTATGTCATCTACAAAGCTTTGAACATGTATGACTCTTGGACTACTGGAGGGCACCCCGTACTAGATATAATCGTTGTAGATTTAGATGGTTCGACAGCTATTGTTTCGATGATTGGGTACATTCAATCGCCATACCATACTTGAAGAAGTTACCTGACAGAAAGATATTGATTGGTGACAATTTATCGTCACATCTATCATTACAATCGATATAAGGGTGCTCAGTGAACAATATTAGTTTTATATTTTTACCCAGCAACTTCACTCACTTGACACAACCCTCAGAGTTCAGACGTTGCCTTTTTCAAGCCATTAGAGGTTGCATGAAGAAAGATAGTTGCATTCTATAAAAAACGACCTGGAAGAAAGGAATCTAGTATTCCTAGAAACGTCTTTCCAGGTTCATTAAGAAAGCTATTAGAATCTATTGAAGACAACAGATCTAAAATATAATGGCCGGATTCGATAAATGCGGCTGTTGGGGTATATTGAACATCCAACGATCGATAGGGAATATGACATCATGCGGTATGATGAAAATCAACCAAAACAACGAAAGAAAAAACTCCATGTACCTGGTGGAGAAAGCGTAGCAGTTGATGATTTTGACGAAAGAAGCCAACATTTTACCACTCACGATTCAAATTCAGATATGGATCCCATGTCCGACTTTGAAGAGGTAATTGATGTAAATTTTGATGATGCTGAAGAAGAAGACATTTTTCTGCCGTCTGCTGGCTCTCACATCTCGAATAATTCAGCCCAACCAGCAATCTGAGATGTTGAAAATTCCTCTGGTGTGCCCACTCTTCAATTCTTCCGTCAAACAAGCTCTTGATATAAACAATTGAATGCGAGGTCGGAACGTGGGGTTCTCATATTCGATGATAGATGGCGTGAACGATGAACAATTTCTTGGAAAATTTCAAAATGCGTTTCGAATCTTATTATGACGTTGAACTAGACTTTCAAGGACGTATCTCCTTCTTTCGGGACCTAAAGAGTCCCATTGATGATGCACGGATTCAATAATAGCGGAAGCATCTAGAGACCGGACGCAAAACAGGGCGCAACAAATAATCCGTGCGGAGACATCTTGATATTGACAGATCTGTCACGAGTGTCATGTAAATGTTACATTAATGTATAGTTGTATAGTACATTTCATGAAGTTAAAAAAAATTCCAAATATATAGTTGCCCCAGGTTCATGCTGACAAGAGCCTCGACAACAATAGGACCTCGATTCTTGTGAATCTTCAGAGTGCTGGCCGGCGATTTCATGCTGAGAAGATTGACCAACACAGGTGCGTTTCGGCCTGCCTGACTCATGATGTGCTGGCCTATTCACCAAGAGTTCTTGTTCATCTTTGAAAGGCTTTTTTTGAGCCTTCCTCTCCTCCTAGGTTTTGGCTCAGTATATGAGACTGAATTTGACGATCCCACATGCCCATCTTTCGAATTAGGTTGGTTGATACCTAGATCCGAAGCAAAACTTTTCCTGGAATCATCAAGGATAAACTTGGTGTTGTCTCGCGACTGGGTGGCATTTGAGAATTGACCTGGTTTGGTGCTCGAAGAGCAGCCATTGCTTATGGAAGTGGTGGCTGTTACAACTTGTTTTTTTTTTTATAAAATAGTAAATACGCTTTGTTACTGATGATCGAATCTGATGAAATTGAACGACAATCGTTAAATTCGTGCCAGATGTTCGAGTACGGATGTTTGCAGTAGGCCGTATAGTGACCACTGTTGATGGTACCGCTATGGTTTGAAATAGCATATAGATCGTAGTGGAACGGTGCACTTCCTTCCATCGGCTGCGTAATAGCTCATATCCAGTTTATCTAAAGGGAAATCAACTGTGACGTTCAGTTTTTCTACGAACAGATCCAGCGAGAAACGTTTCAGATGGAAGATAATGACTTTGTACATTTTCGCCTTTCCTTGCATTTGGGGCAAGTAGGCTTGTCTTCGCCATTCAATGACTCCTCTCTGGTAAATGAGTCCAAGCATTGGAACAAACTCAGTTGGCGCGTTCGCTGTGGTATTGGCAATGGCAAATCCCAAAAGGGATCAAACGTCACTGAGGAATAGCCGCAATACGTGCAGTTCAATGAAGACTTAAGCAGACCAACGAAATTATTGACTATCTCCGAATTCTCCACTTTCAAGAATCTCGACCACGATTCCAAAGCCATTTCGTTGACATCCAGAATTTCTTCGACATCTGTAAACTCAGGATCGGACTTCTCGATAACCTTATTGATATCCTCGTGCAAACCCAAGAGCAGAGAGCGCATGAATTCTTGTGCGTCTTGCTGTGCATTACCGATGAAGCACGGCGCAAATTTTTGGATTGTGCACTTCAAAGAGTTCATATTGACACCTTGGTCAGTCGAATTTTCCGACCACAGTTCTTTTATGACTTCTGCAAAAGCCTTCATCAAATATCCCTTCATGCTGGATATGCTCGTGTTGATATCTCTGTTATATAAGTCCATCATCAAATACTCCAACAACCACTTAGTGTGAGACATGCACTGAATGATACTGTTCATGAAACACGTGTTCCCAGTGTTTCTCAAGCCGTTAAGACCAAATTTCTTCCAAGATATTGGGCAGTCATTGAACCAGTATTCACAATTTTTATCGCTGGATCGGAGATATATCGATGTTGAATTTTGATTTTCAGATGGTTGACCAGATGGTGTTAAATAGGTTGACAGGTTACTCGAGTTTAACGAGTTTACATGAATTTTCTTGTGTAGATCCGCTTGCACAAGTCCGTGTTCTTATTGGAAATGCATCACCCAGTATATTGAAAATTTCTTCGAGACCTTTGCTCGATGGTATAGTATTGAGAATGCAAGCAGCATTGCCTCTCTGAATCTCAATTGAAATTCTTTGACGAAGGTATTCAGTAGATCTAGCTTCACTGCTTTGAGCATAAATCAAATGGCCAATAGTTGAAATCATTTCTTTGGCTGAAGGTCCCCAAGGTCCAAAAGTTTCGAATCCTAATGGTATAAAGATGAACTTGTATTCCAAACATTTATACTTTCCGCACTTTCTTTTCTCAGCCTCACATGCAGGGGTTCCAGCAGCTTTGATAGATGCAACTATATTGGAATCTGCTGAAGAATCTACACAGGTGACATCCCAAACCAGTGCTTTTCTGCGATTCCAAGGTATCAATGACATTCCATCAGGTCGTTTACCATCATCACGGCACAATCCAGGTGGTTCTAGGATACTTTGAACGTTTCCAGAGATGAGAGCTCGTTTAATCACATCGTTGATTGCTGAATGACGCATGTATCTTCCTGAACTCTTATTGCAGCTCAATCCATGATGACCATATACATCAACTTCAGTACCGCAAATGCATTTATATGAACAGCATAATGCTGCACCCAGACGTAATGCAACAGAAATTCTCAGACAGTTGTCATCGAGGAAATTACCAAGGCTAGGTATTGGGAATAATGCATTGAGCCATGATCCAGACTCTCTCAATGAAACTGCCTGAAGTCTAGCTTTATCACGGACAGAGGCGGAAGATATGATTCTGTCCCAAGCCTTATTTACTAGTGGACTATCCCAAAGTTTTTGAACTGAAGTAGAAGGTGAAGGTAACCCAGTTAATCCGCACCACTCTCTAATTGCTAAGGAAGCTTCATTCTCGACCACGAACTCAGGAATAATACTGGTAATCAGACCGGCAACAGAGTGAACCGAAACCAAATAGGCTGGGAGAGCTAGTTCCTCTGTACGACGTATTCCGAGACAACCTTTATTCACTGGAAAACTTGCTTGAGTTCAAGCTTGATCATCCAAATTAGTGTTGGTGATGAACACCAGACAAGAACGCAGGATGTCATCGAGATCAGATAGTTCTTTTTTCTCGTCCATGTTTGAGAACATCTCATCAAATGCAGAATTTTTGAAGCTCCCAGGCAATTTTTAAGGATGAAAAGAGCATGATGTGAACTGAGTAGAGGTGAACGGCTTGAAATCAATGTTATTGATGAAATTTTTGATTTAATTGAATTTGTGATTCCCTCTGGTAATAAAGGAGCTCCAAGAAGTGACAGATAATCATGCGTGGGGAATCTAATACCAGGGGCAAATTTTTCAACAGCCATGAGTACTTTTTTCTTCGACAAATCATCACCACCATAAATGAACCCTTAACACATTTAGATATATTCAATTCCAAAGTAATTTCTTTGCCCATTCTAAGAATACTCTCAAAATCATCTCGAACAGAATTGACATTTCCAGCTATTGTTCCATCATCAAGATACCAAACGTTGAGAAGAGATTTTACTGAATTGACTCAATCCTTTGTTGCAAGATAAAATAAAAAAGGGCCTAGAAGGTCGCCTTGTTGAATTCCACGATGAGAATTCAGTGAAAAATCTCCAAAATTTAGTGATGTAGGGTCACGATATAAGTTCCAAATAAATTTATAATATTGCGGCAGATATTTTTGAACACTTTGAAGGAGCTTTTCTCGGTAAACAGAATTGAAGGCATTCTTGAAATGAAATCCAGCTTCATTAATACTTGCGTATTTTTCGCCATCAAAATAAAAGAACGAGTGGCGTGAACAGCAGCTTCAATACCACCTTTAGAGGCATATCCCATTTGTGTAGGTCTTAATAAATCACCCATTGATTCGTAAACGCGGCTACTCTCAACTTTCCCGGCAAGTCTATGCAAGGTATTCCCAACTGCTATAGGACGAATACGACCATCTTTCTTCTTCAGAGCAAACAACTTGACACCATGAAGAATATTGGATATGTCCTGAGGTAGGTACATCGCCTTTCAACATAATAACTGCGACACGAACATCTTCATCTATCATCTTCCTTTCCACCAATGATTTGAGATTGTTCTTGTATATTTGAGGTGTTTTAGATATGATATCTGAAGTCGAGGTATCGAGAGATGAAAGATTTTTCCGTATCAAAGTCGAAAGCGATAATATATTCCTTGTTCCAAATCTTGGTAAACACAATGTTTTATAAGAGAATGATAGTAAATATAACAAAGACATCGGATCATTGATAGAAAGACAACGATCTTTTATAGATATTAATGATTCAGCAACTGTATGTCTAACTGATTTTGGAATACGACGTAAAATAATGACCTTTTCATGAAGATTCGTAATGAAAGACCATGAATTTTCAATATCAGGTAATTTATCAATAGACTGAGGATCTCTAGTATTTTTGGGGATTCGTTTCTGGAGACCACCCTGTTTTTTGAGGCAAACATTGCTCCCTTAATGTTTTCTCAGTCCTGAACTACTGATGAAGAGTTTCTCAGAATGATTTGGTTTCTTCGGAGCTGCATCTTCTGACGAGGATGATTCATTATCACTCAGTACTATTGGAAAGTCTTTATCAAGATAATTTTTGGCCAAAATGACACATAAATTTTCATTGTCATAACATTAATCCGGGACAGTTGTCGAAATTTCCACGAAATAATATCAGAAAATCATATTTCTTGCAAGCCTTTCAGTAATCTTCATTATCTTCAAGACCCAGGAGAACCGAAAAACCAGATGACGAAATTTCAATAAAAAAATTCCGAAGTAGACCAGATATTTCTTCGATCAAAGACCACACTACTATACTCGATTCACACCTAATCTTAATTCTGAACCACCCTGTACCTATTTCAATTAAATATCAATTGATAGTAAATAAAAAGTTGAGATAGAGATATGGAGACCGTTTTGACCAATTATGAATTGTTTCGACACAAAAAAATCTTAAAGTTGAAAAATCTCGATTTTTCACACCCTATATCTCTGTATTTGTCACTGCTAGACCCCGAGTGTAATAGGTCAATGAAATCAGCTCTTCAGGGAGAATCTGAAAATGGTATAATATACAAGGAGTCTTATTTAAAATATCGCAGTTGTTGCTACTTTTCAATATAAGCGGCAACTAATTATTCAAAGCACTAATTTTTCAGAATAATCCTGAGTTGTGGTCTCCAGAAACGTCTAATGTGCCATCCACCGTTAATCAGCCTGTATACGGGTACCATGTGTATTCATATATTGAAAAATCTGATGAAAAATATAGTTTCTGGTTCTGTTAACTAATATTTTGGGGAGGGGGGTGGGAGGCTATATCTCTCTGACCAATGACCAGTCCAAATAACGCCCATGCTTGAAGCTGAAATTAGTGACATATTCAAACAATGTTAGTGGTCTACTCCTTTGAGCTATTGAACTATTCCAAACATATTCCAAATAAGAAATGGCAAGCTTAGTACGTAGATATTTCAAGAACACAGGCCATGAACTTTTTTTCGTGTCATCGACGCCTCTAGACGACACTTCCAACACTTTGAACGTCGGAGACGAACTTGTGTCTAGCCTCTGCTCACTGTTTGTGGTGAAGGAGCGATTTCTCGATATCTATTCTTGCATTGCAACTAACCCAACCAACCCAAATTTCCCATTCCGAAATCTAAGTACTTAGCAGAGTATGAAATAATCCTATATACCTATTGGTTTCATTATTATTATTATTGTTTAGTTTTCTGCACTTCTCATGCACGATGTTTCATCAGGGACTTGGTATATGATAAAGTCGCGTGAGGCCAAAATTTGTGGAGGGCGGTCAATTTGGCGCTCGACCTAGGCAAGGCAATTTTATCATTTATTCATGTATTCAATTCATTTTTCTCGCCACATTAGTTACCAAAGTAGCCCTCTTCATGTATCACATAGACGTTTATATAGCAGTTGATATTTCATTTAAAATATCTTACATAATATATAACTTAATATTTAATTATTTCATATCTCATTTTATGGGTTTTTATCTTATTCATTGACATTGACTTTGATAATCTGAATTGAACCACATATACTGTTCTTCCAAATATTGGAATTGAGGATATCATTCCACACACAATTTTTTTTTTGGTGAATATTTCAGGAGTATCAAGTTTCTATTCATTATTTATGATTCGTTTCAGTTGGTTTTTATGGAAAAAAAAATATTATAAGGACTATTTCTCGTACAGAAAATAACATGACCCACCATTTTGTTCTTCTATATAGCGAGTTCTTTGATGCTATTATATTTGTGCACATCTTCGGATAGATTGACTTGAACGAAAAACATTTACTAATACTTCTGTGGACTGCCTTATGAATATCTCCGTGAGCCCTAACTCCGTCAATTCATATCCAATTTCGAAAAATGTGAAAAAAATAATTTCAGTCGTTCGTAAAATACCACAGACCTAAATACCAGCTTTTCTACATTCTCCAGAACATGCTGAGACTTTTTTTTCAATAGAATGATATACATTTCAGGGATTCATTGAATAGAACCATTTCTTACATGAGTTTAGTACTGAATCGCCTGAAAAATATAAATAATATGGTGGAATAAGATGGTGGGCCATGTAAATTTTGTTGGATAGATCACTATGTCTGATAATCACATCAATAGTCACATGTTTCGGTCCTCAATATGGCCATCATCAGCCAAATATCAAGAATAAAAGTGTCCTAAAATAAATTGAAACATTGTTTCGAACTCATGTGACATAATAATGATATACTCACATGAGGATGAATCATAAAAACTCATTATTATAAATCATGTTAGAATTGATGATGATGAGTTCTCCTGGAGAATGCAGAGCAAGATGGAGGCATCTATACATTACAAATAAATGATTTCACCCTTGCAAAATCATTTTCTACCTTCAAGTTTAGACCTTGGAGTTCTTAGAGTTTTTCATTTTCAGAATTCGAACAAAGCAACAAAGCCATGTGACTTTTTGAACAACGGTTCAATTCATTGTAGTACACCTTTATTCGTGATATTTGGCTAATCATGGATATATGTTCAAAACAAGTTCCTTTTGATGTGATTTTCGCAATAAACTGTTGTGGAGATGATTTAAAGTATCATGTAGTACTTGATCAAATGATTGATATCTAAAATCTTCACCTTTTCAATCAGGAAACAATATTAATGTATGTATGAGAAACAGTGTCTTGAATTCAGAGATAACAAATACAGAAAATCATTTTTTTCTTGAGCCAGGACCCACTCGAAAGTAACGAAGGTGTAGTCTGTTGAACTGTCTCGGCGTTTTATGACCACTTTCAACGATATCTCTAAACAGTTGTTTCAGCGTTTTGATTACATTTGTCCACTGGCTTGATGTTTAAGCAATTGGAGCATTCGGCATATTATGTGCACCGATTTTTTTCGGCATTTTGATCAAAAATTCGGCGTTTCATCCATCAAACCTCTGTCCATTCGGCAATGTTCCCGGAACACTGAATCTTATACTAAAAATGTATTTCCCATCTTTTTTCATTTTTCTGTCTATTTTCTTTGAGGAAATGGTTGAATAGTTAATGTTCTGAAATAATGCGAAGAGCAATGTTCATTAATTACATGAATCATGATAAAAAAACTGATACTCTCGCCACAAGCAATTGCACGCAGGGGCTAGACACGATTCTCGAGCCGCCGGTTCACTGTTCCGTTCAGTCACCATTCAGTTCAGAAGTCAGAACAGTCCCAAACGGTGTAGCCTGCCATCTACCACACAGTCCAGTCTTCACTCTCAATCCTCATCTGCCACGCGATCTAGTCATGAGGGAAATTGTACATCTTCAAGCCGGTCAATGCGGAAACCAAGTTGGAGCTAAGGTAAGTGACAATCTGATTTTCTGTTAACGAAATCATTGCAGAAAATGTTTCAAATTCGAAAAATATTTTGAATCTTGGGAGTTAATAAAGGTCCCACAAGTTGTGAACTTTCAGTTATTTTTTTGTCAAATCATTGTTCATTAATTTTTCTCATATTTTCGTGATGCCTAATTTAAAAAATCCGAAGGGAGGAAGAAATGGAGGTAACAACCTAAAAAACTGCGCCGCAGGGATTTGTTTTTTATTTTTCATGATCATAAACTTTTAAGTAAATGAGTATGAATTGAAAAAAAGCAGATTCATTCAGATCTTATGTAAAACATATTCTATGTAAGAATTTCTCCTTCTCGATATGAATTTTGGAACTCTGAACATGATATTATGGTTCGATTTGATAAATTGTGCTCTACCATTTATTCAGAAAATAGATTTGAAAAATAAGATGCATACCTATACTACTTCTGAACATAGATAACTCATAATGTTGGTCCACTGTGAAATACTTGGTCTTGAAAATATTGAAAAATATATAACTGATAATGATATGCTAATATTCAAGAGGCCGATTCATCGACCCATTTCAAGAATATAACTTCATATGAACATATTATCTCGTAAATGTCCTAGCTTTTGAGATACAGGGTGTCAATGTTGAAAATATGCATAGATTATTTTGTTGTCCACTCTGTATAGCTTTCAGTGATGGCAAAATTCAGTCTGCTATGTGACTGAATCTGAATACGAATTTCAAAATGTTACATACGGTGGTAATCCAGTAATGGATGTTCTGAATGGAGTACTCAGACATCAAAATTTGAAGTCTGGTCTCATTTTTCCGTGTTTTCTCGAAAACGAAGCGTTCTATCAAGTATCAACAGGAGGATCTTTTTTGTACATAATTAAATATCATTTCATGGCATTATATGAAATTTGAGAATTTTTCGTCGTTGCTCATTTTTAAGTAAAATATAAACAATAATTTTCCCGTAACGGTGCCCCTGGTAGGGAAAATGAAAATTTTTGTACATCAGAAAATGCACCTCGATGCATAAAAGACGTGTACCAAATTTCAGAAAGATGTAAACAATATTGTCTTGGTTATCATCAAAATACTGAATATTTTTCAAAACTTCATCACCCTGTATCTCAAAAGTTAAGACTTTTAGGACATACGTTCATATAAAGTTTTCTTCTTAAATTGAGTCAGAGAATCACCCCAATCAAATAGTAGCATGTCTTTAAGGAACACCCTGTATATTTGTGACGTTCAGATAATTTGATATTGTTCTTTGCTGCGAAGCCGTATAGTTTTTGAGCGCTCTGCCTGAGCGGATACCGTTGATACGGATACGGTACGGTTGAGAAGCGATGGACAAAAATCTCCATAAACTTTTGGAAATATTAACAATTTTTCATTTTGATTATCCAATTCATCACGTGATTTGTCATTGGAAAGAACATACTATGTACTTTGTTGGTGTGTACATAGCTCACCAGAGGTCCTTCAGTCCATGTGTGTCAATTGGAACGCAATAGTGAATTGTGCGAAATCATTTTCGGCGAAGAGATTGCTCATGTATACATGCGAGGCCCACAAGCCTCTTTGAAGTCTGCATAATGTTTAAAGTATTCCTTTCCTATCCTTCAATCCTTGTACGCTTCATTATCTTATGCTTATTATATCAGAGCCCGATTATTTCTCAAAACTGAAATTCTTGACAATTTCGTTTGTTGGAAGATCATCAAAATGAATGTCCTTTAAAGGGTTAGATTTTCATCTCTTCCGTTTTTATTATTACGATAAAGAAACGAGTGAGATCTAGTTGTTCCTGTTATCCAAAAACAGTATGCACCATGTATTTTGAGATTTCATTTGTTTGGTTTTATCACAATATATGGTGATAAGAGGCTTCATTATTTTACATTGAACATCGATGCAGTGTTGGTGGGTTACTGGCCCTCATTTTTACTGCAACGTTCCTGCACATCATCAGTGATGTTTAGAAGTTCAGAGTCTTCTTAGGTGTGGTGGGATATAATAGCTTTGTACAATCAGGAAAAAAGGAACAATGGAGAAACATGATATAGTAACTTGATAATCATAGTTTTAGATGTATGACAAACTGACATTTATCATACAGGGCGTGGAAAGAAATTCTGAATTGAGAAAAAAACCCAATCACGAATCTGCGATTGAAGGTCTATAAAAATAACAAGTTTCCATCGTTCAAGTTTGAACCCCTTGATTGGGAATGAAAGTATTGAAAAGGAATATTCTCAGATATATTATAAACATGAAACAATGGATACATTTGAATAAATACATTGAGAATTCGCATTCTCTATGTGATGAAATTATTAATTCTTTCTCGGCATATTCAACAGAAAACAACTACTTTCCTGGCTATATGCCACGACGAACATTGAATTATATCAATTGAACATACACGATAGGAATTTGAGCATAAAATGAATATCGTCTGAAATTGAGAATTGACATTCTCTTCCAGAATCGGATGAATACTATGATGAATATAACGATATAAAAAATATATTACTTACCAAATTGGTATGAAAATTGGAATGTATGGGAGAAATATACTAGTATACATACTCTGTTCTTGTTGAGTCGTGAATTTATCAAAAATCATCCGTATCCATGATGTTTGGGATATATGCACATCTCTTTCACATAGGTTAGATGATTTTGATTCGAATAAAATTCATTTCGAGTTTCAAACTCTCCTCAGTAACCTGAAGTCCAGTCATTCCTTCAGCCATTCTTCATTTAATACACAATTTTCACATTTCTATAATAATATAACTAAAACTATAGTGGAACTGACATCTATCTGAGAATGAAAATTTGTTGACTTATCTCCAGTCATGTGGGTGGCAATTGTTTTAGATGTATGACAAACTGACATTTATCATACAGGGCGTGGAAAGAAATTCTGAATTGAGAAAAAAAAAAAAAAAAAACCCAATCACGAATCTGCGATTGAAGGTCTATAAAAATAACAAGTTTCCATCGTTCAAGTTTGAACCCCTTGATTGGGAATGAAAGTATTGAAAAGGAATATTCTCAGATATATTATAAACATGAAAAAATGGATACATTTGAATAAATACATTGAGAATTCGCATTCTCTATGTGATGAAATTATTAATTCTTTCTCGGCATATTCAACAGAAAACAACTACTTTCCTGGCTATATGCCACGACGAACATTGAATTATATCAATTGAACATACACGATAGGAATTTGAGCATAAAATGAATATCGTCTGAAATTGAGAATTGACATTCTCTTCCAGAATCGGATAAATACTATGATGAATATAACGATATAAAAAATATATTACTTACCAAATTGGTATGAAAATTGGAATGTATGGGAGAAATATACTAGTATACATACTCTGTTCTTGTTGAGTCGTGAATTTATCAAAAATCATCCGTATCCATGATGTTTGGGATATATGCACATCTCTTTCACATAGGTTAGATGATTTTGATTCGAATAAAATTCATTTCGAGTTTCAAACTCTCCTCAGTAACCTGAAGTCCAGTCATTCCTTCAGCCATTCTTCATTTAATACACAATTTTCACATTTCTATAATAATATAACTAAAACTATAGTGGAACTGACATCTATCTGAGAATGAAAATTTGTTGACTTATCTCCAGTCATGTGGGTGGCAATTGTTTTAGATGTATGACAAACTGACATTTATCATACAGGGCGTGGAAAGAAATTCTGAATTGAGAAAAAAACCCAATCACGAATCTGCGATTGAAGGTCTATAAAAATAACAAGTTTCCATCGTTCAAGTTTGAACCCCTTGATTGGGAATGAAAGTATTGAAAAGGAATATTCTCAGATATATTATAAACATGAAAAAATGGATACATTTGAATAAATACATTGAGAATTCGCATTCTCTATGTGATGAAATTATTAATTCTTTCTCGGCATATTCAACAGAAAACAACTACTTTCCTGGCTATATGCCACGACGAACATTGAATTATATCAATTGAACATACACGATAGGAATTTGAGCATAAAATGAATATCGTCTGAAATTGAGAATTGACATTCTCTTCCAGAATCGGATGAATACTATGATGAATATAACGATATAAAAAATATATTACTTACCAAATTGGTATGAAAATTGGAATGTATGGGAGAAATATACTAGTATACATACTCTGTTCTTGTTGAGTCGTGAATTTATCAAAAATCATCCGTATCCATGATGTTTGGGATATATGCACATCTCTTTCACATAGGTTAGATGATTTTGATTCGAATAAAATTCATTTCGAGTTTCAAACTCTCCTCAGTAACCTGAAGTCCAGTCATTCCTTCAGCCATTCTTCATTTAATACACAATTTTCACATTTCTATAATAATATAACTAAAACTATAGTGGAACTGACATCTATCTGAGAATGAAAATTTGTTGACTTATCTCCAGTTATATTATTATAGAAATGTGAAAATTGTGTATTAAATGAAGAATGGCTGAAGGAATGACTGGACTTCAGGTTACTGAGGAGAGTTTGAAACTCGAAATGAATTTTATTCGAATCAAAATCATCTAACCTATGTGAAAGAGATGTGCATATATCCCAAACATCATGGATACGGATGATTTTTGATAAATTCACGACTCAACAAGAACAGAGTATGTATACTAGTATATTTCTCCCATACATTCCAATTTTCATACCAATTTGGTAAGTAATATATTTTTTATATCGTTATATTCATCATAGTATTCATCCGATTCTGGAAGAGAATGTCAATTCTCAATTTCAGACGATATTCATTTTATGCTCAAATTCCTATCGTGTATGTTCAATTGATATAATTCAATGTTCGTCGTGGCATATAGCCAGGAAAGTAGTTGTTTTCTGTTGAATATGCCGAGAAAGAATTAATAATTTCATCACATAGAGAATGCGAATTCTCAATGTATTTATTCA